TATATATATGTGTCATATGTTTGTATATTTTTATATGTCAGCTTGAAATCATACAACCATGTAGTGTAGTGTAGTGTAGTCGAACAGGAATATCCATGGCGAATCAAATCCCAAACAATCCATGAACCAATGACACGTCTTGGTGGCACTTCATTTCAATGACCACTAGATGTCCTACTCGAGCATTGTGTCACTGAAGCCTCGAATAATGAACCATTTTTGTGAATACTGTGTCAAAGCTTCAACAAAGCCTCGACCAGCCATCACTAGCCACAGCTATTTAAGGCAGCAAGGATATGCCTGCTGTATTTTTCATTTTAACTAAAGTGTTTTGTTAAAGTCATATTTAAATTCTACTTTTGCCAGTAATGGAATGTAATGCACTACAATTTGGGGTGAAATATTACTAAACTACATTAGTATATAAGAAGTTTGGTTACTTTGCTGATTCAAATTAATAGATAAAACAATCAACAAATAGATTATGATGTACTTTTAAAAATTAATCTATTTCTCCATAACTAAAAAAGGAGCCCCACCTTTACTTCCTTCAACATTAGTGATGTTTGCTCATGAATATATCAATAATTACAATCCACTATAGGTCTAGGCTCTATATTCTGAAACAGGCCGTCCTGTAAAATGAGCACGTTTCACCTTTAATACAGTAAGTAGGCTATAGTTTCGTGCTGATGGACTCTGTGCTCAGTCTTTTTTTGATCGCTTTACATCTCACTGTTGTAATTTTGTCTTTTGAGTGAGACCAATCAGCAAATAGGCTATTACTGGTTGAACTGAGGGTAGACCCGTACAATTATCAGTCAAATGATTTCTAATGGCAGCATTTTGTCAAGCTGGACTTAAGATCACCATCATTACAAGAGAACACGCCTAGTGACCAGTGAGTCAGTCTTGTTATCCACTTTTCAGAGTGGTTGTGTCCGAAACTTGCGTGCAGTTCACTTCCTCGACATTTTGTGCACTGTGCACATAGGCATCTGCTGACGCTGATAGGACAGCAACGGAACACGGGCGGGTTATTAGTTACACATTTTCTATTGTGATTGGCTCAGATTTGATAGTGGGAGGTGCTTGTACGCCGGTGTCTCCCTGGTTGCGCAAGACGCCATTTTGGAGTGACAGCAAAAGATTACGGAAAGATCGAGACGCTGTGTTTTATAAAGGTAATAATCCACATAAACGCACGGATTCCGTTCTAAAATGTGAGATTATGTGAGTGGATAGTTGCTCTGTACGAAACGCTCGACTTATTTGATGTTTAATATGACGTCACAGCGCTCTCTCTGTACTGTGACGCGGCATTTAGCTAACGGCAGCAATCTTAGCATGTTGGCTAAGTAGTTCCTGTAAGATCAAGTAGTTGCCATTGTTTTCTAAACTAATAGATTCTGTTTACGGTTCAACTTAGCATTTCATAGTATGGCAACATTTGATATGGTGAAGTGACGCCGTGTGTCGTAAACGGATGCGTTCTTTAAACCGTTCGGAAATTGTTTCGCCCGTTAGCACCAAGCTAACATTAGCTAGCACCTGAAGTATCCGCCCTAACTGAAGCTAACTGCAATCTGTTTCGAGTGGTAATGACCAGCTAAAGCCACCCAACGCCAACTGTTTACCTATCTGAATTAATAAATGAATGTCGTCACACTAAGCGCATTCATATAACATATATACGGTCAAAGTTAAATCGTAACTTAAACGTTTTTTGGGTTGCCGGCCTTTAGATTAGGTCGAGGTGTTGTTAGCATGCTAGCAAGGTAGTACACAGTAACATTATCCCTGCAGCCAGTGCACAAGAGTTTGCCAGCTGGAGCAGGCCTTTCTTATCTGGTCATCAGTTGGCTACTCGGTTTATTCGTGTTAACAGTGTAGCTAGGTTAACAATGGTCATTTTCGAATAATCTGCCAATTAACGATTAAGCGCGTTGTCTATAAAATGTCAAAAATACTGCGAGGTTGAGGTACCCGCTATGACGTTACTCTTCCAAAGCCCAAGATCATGAATATACGCTGCATGTTTTATTTGACAAACAATCGAAAATCCAAAAAGATAAAGTTAACGGTCAGATATGACAGACACATTTTCACAATTGAGAAGCTTTAATTGGGAATTGTACATAGAAAAGACCAAAATGATTAATGTAGTATTATCACAATATCTCTTGTTGTCAGTTTTCTGTCAATCACTTAATCATTGTAGCTCCAAATTTAACAGCCTCTTCAGTATAAATAATTCAAAGTGACTTCTTGAAATAGACTGTTTTGTCCAGTCAACATTATTATCTTCCTAGTCCCGTTCACATGGACTGTAGCAGAAACAGATGGTACGTTTGTGCGTTGCGCTTTAATGGGGATGGCTAAACAAACAGGACTTGCATAACATTAGTCTAAGGCACGCACTGGCTGACAAAAATAAAATAAAATAAAATAAAATAAAATAAAATCAAAGGCTCAACTAGAAGGGTCTCAGTCAACTGACGGGTCTCTCAGCTAATGACTTGACTATTAGGGGGCAGCCCTATCTATAACTCAGAAGAAGAAAACTGGCTATAAGAGCATTACTTCAACAGAAATACAAATGTGGCAGCCCAACGTTATATGGCCTATCGGCAGTTAATGTAAAATTCTTAGTTGGGTACAGTCCTAGAAATGGTAGATGAAGGTTGAAGCTGCTGATAAGGGCTGGCTTGTATTGTGTAACTGCAAACCCGAAAATTTTAACAGTAGCTTAAGTAAAACTCTCACTTGTGTTACCAGTGTTAAGTTCAATGTGCTGCTTTTGGTGTAGCATAAATGTGTGTTTAGTTCAACCGGATATACTGCTATCATCAACCTTCTTGATCCATTTATTTGTGCCTTTATGAACTGTTCAGTGATGATGAAAGAATAGATTTGCTGCCAGTATACTGGTTGAACTGACAGATGGTTGATTATCAGTTTTCTTTATCATGCATATTTTGTCTCCTCCTTTCCTCTTGGTGTATACTACATTGAAACTGAAACACTGCAGGTGTTAACTCCTCTAACCTTGTGTTCTTCTCCTCTTCGACAGCTTCGTCACCATGGGGAATGTATTTGCGAGCTTATTCAAAGGCCTGTTTGGCAAAAAAGAGATGAGGATTCTCATGGTTGGACTTGATGCTGCTGGAAAAACAACCATCCTATATAAACTGAAACTTGGAGAGATAGTCACCACCATTCCAACCATTGGTATGAATACATATTAACTCATTTTACTTAACAGCTATAATTTGTGAGTTTTTGTACAGCAGTGAATCATTTTAAAATGTTTGACACTACTTTTTTGGAAGAGAACAAACTTTTCACCTGGTATCGCTAAACTGTTTGTGTTCATAGCAAAACCAATGAAAATGCTGAGTAGTTTTTACTTTGAGAAATGTTGCTTAGAAGGAGTCTTAGAAGAGTTTTGATAAATTAAAATACAGTCTAATTCTGTCCAACTTCTGTTTTTTAAATCAGGAACTATCTGATCAAACAATAATTGTACAAAATTAGGAATCTGACTGCACCAGTGCTGGCATCTTTTAGTACTTGACAGCGTTTATACTCCTCCTTCGACATATGGTTGCACCTAATGAGTATTTTCACTATTGATTAATCTGATTATGTTCTTCAGTGTTTGATCAGTGAAATATCAAATGGTGAAAAACTCACAAGTTCAAGAAGTTAAAAGTCGCATCTTCAAATGTCTTCTGACTGTTTTATATTTTGGTTGCAAAATTACTTAAATGATTATTTTCTTATCCAAAATAGTTGATATATAAGTTAATGAACAGAAAATTGTATTCATCAATAAGATTGTTTGTCCCCTGCATGGACACATTAGTATTGCGGCTCTATACTCAGCCCTGCTATGTACCACTTATGTTAAACCCTCAGAATGAACTAGAGCTTTAAAATAACTGCCTCAGTTTAACTTGTATATGTTAAACTACATCGATTGTTGTGATGCCAGGCAGGTTCCCAACTTGAATTATATCAAGTTTTCTGTGAGTTTTTGATCCATGTTTCTCCACTTCTGTGCAGGTTTTAATGTTGAAACTGTAGAATACAAGAACATCAGCTTCACAGTGTGGGATGTGGGCGGTCAGGACAAAATCAGGCCGCTGTGGCGCCACTACTTCCAGAACACTCAAGGTGAGGGGGGGGCTTGTCTTCACAGTGGCAGTGCTGTCGGCAGACATTACTGCCCATAGGTGGCCTCGTTGGTGCATAGATGATGATCTTAAAGCTAGTGAGCCCGTGACTCATACCTCATTGTTCAGTTCTCAAAGGGTGTATTGTGTGACTCCCTGCTACTTCCTGAAAATGAATTCATCACAATATGTGAACACACTATAGGTTAATACTGCACTGTAATGATACAAGCTGCAGGTAGAGCCTGCCTACAGAAATTTACTGTGACCTTGTCAGATTCAGCAGCTTCATTGCCACCATGGCCCTGTTTCAGCTTCTCCTTGTTTTCCATGCCTACAGCAGCAAACATCACCATCCACATACAGAGCACCCAGGTGTGAAACTGAATGTGTGAATCCTATTTGGTGATGACAGATAGACATGGCATCATTTATCAAAAAGGCCCAAGAAAATTCTAGAGACAGCAGGCCTTCAGAATGTGTTATGCAATTAATGGGTCTTTGCTGCTGACCTGATTAGGTCCCATACATCCCTTTTTATTTGCTCATATTTTTATGTTGACTTATACATTTTGTGTTATGTAAATAATGTGTCTTTTAAGCTGAGAGCTGCTGGAAAAGATTTCGTTGTGCTACGCATAATGACAATAAAGATTCTTGAATATACCAGTGTTTTCCAGCATGTAATGATGCTGGTGCCTGGTACCCACATGTACACCTAGAACCACTTTGCTGTCTGGAAAATCCCACATCTTTTGCCCCCAGGTTCCCACTTTGGGGTTTATAAAGCTCCAAAATAAATGATAGGGTCACAAGAAATTAATTTAAATGTTGAGGTTTCATAATTTTCAGTTTGTTAAAAATCCATAAATTAAAATAATTAGAGAAAGTAAAATCACTGTTTTATTGAACACGTGATTCATGTCCAAGCTAACCATAACAACTTGTGAAGTGAGTTCACCAGTAGCCGGTCCTTGCATTAAAGAAATCATAAGCCAAGTAGTTGAACTAGTGCTCTGTTGATGCTGTCTTTCCACTATCGGAACCTAACGGCCTGTACACCCCGTACTTCCCTTAACTACAGCCTCCGGGGTTGACGTGGATGGTCCTGCTTTGTTTTTCCACTGTATTTTCTCTCTGTTGATCCTTGTTTAGAGGAGGGAGGCGCTGCTCCTCTCCCACACATGCAGCCAGCTGTGTGTTTTGGCTGCATTCACACAAAATCCTTCCCACAGGGTTGCGCAGAGGTGTGGCTGTGTTTATTCCTGCTTTAGAACATAACCACAGTGTAACTATCACAAAATAATGTTTTAATCCTTTGAGTTGTGTTGACGCTGCTCTCTCTCCTCATTCACCCTTTAGCTCTTTCTCTCACACACTGACCTCCACCCCCCCATTCCGTGTCACCCTGTTTATACAGCAGGCGGGATGAACTCACCTCAGCAAAAATACTACCTCTTGTTGTGCCAAATTTGAGGGTCACCTTCGACCCCCCCCCCCTCAATCACTGTGCAGGTCTTTAAACCTCTTCTTGTTGTGTATGTTTTACCGTCCCCTGATAAACGAAGCATCTGCTCTCTTTAAATGCTGCATTTCCATCATTTATAAGAACATGTCTGAAAATTACTTGGCAGCACCAAGGTAGGAATTTCAATGCATTTAAAGTTACCAGACAAGATTCGGGGGTTTGTACAGACCTACAGGTACCAGGTGACACAGATGGAGTCTGTGACCAGGTAACTGGTTTCTGCACTGACTTCAGCATCTGACCTGTTTACAGGACTGATTGTTTCCCTTTAAGATGTGAGGTTTATCAGTGTAATCCTCAAAGGTTTTGGTGGCATGGGTTGATACAAAAGCCATGTTTAAATCACATAGTTTGGGACTACACTCATCCTTTACATAGCCTCAATATTGTGCTTTGATCTGGTCAAAGAGACTTGTTAAGCAGCAGGAACACTTTGCATAGAATGAATTATTAATGGAACAAAGTCACAGCTTTTGATTTGGGAGAGAAGAAAATGCAGATGTATTGTAACTAATAATACAGATACCTAACAAGCTAATATGAAATGGAGCCATTATTGGTCTTAAATGAATGTTTTTGTATGCAGGGCTTATCTTTGTGGTGGACAGCAATGACAGGGAGAGAGTGAACGAGGCGAGGGAGGAGCTGGCCAGAATGCTTGCTGAGGACGAACTCAGAGATGCTGTGCTGCTCGTTTTTGCAAATAAACAGGTAAGGTCACATTTCGGTTTCCTGAACTGTCTTCAGATGTTTGTGTGAATGATGAAACTGAGCTTCAGAATCCTTTTATATAAAATCAGTGCTTATTACTGATACATTGTAAACACAAGGATATTTTTTCTTTTGCAAATGCAAGACAACTGTAACGTGACAGCTATAGTACAACGAACAGCACCACTAACAAGGCTGCTGACATTCTGCATAATAAAAAGAAAAAAGCTTTCCCACTGAATGTTGTAACAGTTCATTTTTAACAAAGAAGCCATTTTGCATGTCACGCCGCCTGAACTGAGCCACTCCGTACAGATGCATGTTTACAGTTAAGTGCAGGTTGATCCTGTGCTTTTTAAGAATTGATTAAAATCAGTTTTTAATGTCTGTCCTCAATCTGCATTTGTAACCTATCAATTATCAAACCTGCATCACCACTCTGTTTCTTTCTCTCCCAGGATCTCCCCAATGCCATGAATGCTGCAGAGATCACAGACAAGCTGGGTTTGCATGCCCTCCGCCAGCGCAGCTGGTACATCCAGGCCACCTGCGCCACCAGCGGGGACGGCTTGTATGAGGGCCTGGACTGGCTCTCCAACCAGCTGAAGAACCAGAAATGATCCATTCCACCAGTTTTGATTTCTGTTTGTTTATTTTTTCCTGTTTCGACACCACGGCAGCACCGGACCCAGGCCCTTTCGCTCCCACCTGACCCACGGTTCAACCCCAGCTCTTTCTTTCAAGAAATTACTTCATTCCCTCATCCCTGCTTCGTCCCCTCGTCAGTGCTCTTAGGGCTGTAGCCTGTGCTGCTTGTGTGGGCGTGCGTGCGTATGTGTGTTGTGTATCTTGTGTGTGTGTGTGTGGGGGTGTGAAGGCGTCTCTGTGTGTGTTGGCTGGGACTGGGCGTAACTCTGGCGTGCCTTTTACACACCTCTTGTGGAATCAGCAGTCTGGTTTTCAAGCCCCTTTCTCCATCCACCAAACTCAGCCTGTGCACCCACAGCCTGCCCCCCCTCTGTCTTGCACGGCCCCTTTCTCCCACCCTAACTCTGCAGAGAAAGCATGGTTTTCATACGGCAAAGAAAGAGCAAGGGTGCGAGCTGTCCTCCCCTTCCCTGAAGTATGTGTTTGCCCAGTGTAGGCTGAATTCATTTTAACCTCTTTTGATTTTGAGACCTCAACCCACCAGTAAGAGATTCAGTAAATTGCATCTTAACCTGTATCAGGTCGAAGCAAATCAGAAAAAAGTTTAAAAAAATAAAAGTGATATAATAAACGCCCATCCTCTCATTCTTTTGTCATTTGAAAATCATGCTGTTTTATTGTTATTATATTGGAATATAACAGGTTATTGTTGGCAATGGTTCTCCTTTGAACACTACCTTTCTGCCCCCACTGAGAGCGTGAAGCACAAGCCAGCAAGTTAAAATTCAACTTTAAAATTAGAACCTGCAAATATGCAGCTCTTCTCTTTTCAGGTGTTTAATAGCTGGATATAAATTCCCTGGGTTAAATTGGATTTCAGTATAATGAGTCATTCTGACAGTGTTCCTACCTGATGTAGGTCAACTCCAAGGTGTCAAGCATTTCACACCCTTCAGCCAGTTAACTGAGACAGGTGTCCTAGTACATTCACAAGCTTCACGTTATTCCTTTGAGAGGCTGTTTTTTTTTCCCCTCTGTAACTAGTT